ACGACATGTCCATCCTGGGCCTCCTGCAGTGCCACAACGATGCTACCTGAAGGTTGCAGGAACAGCAACTCATATTTCGCTTGGGAACCCTGCAGCCCAATGGTATCAATGTGGACTTCACAAGCTTCAAAATCTCCCCTCCCCCTACCGCATCCCAAAACCAGCCCAACTCGACCCTGCCTCCCTACCCTGTCCTTCCTCCCACCACAAGCCCCACCCCCATCACCTACCTACTAACCTCATCCCGCCCCCTTGACCTGTCCATCCTCCCTGGACTGACCTATCTCCTCCTTACCTCCCCACCTACACTCACCTCTACTGGCTCCATCCCTGCCTCTTTGACCTCTGTCTCCTCTCCACCTATCTGCTCCTTTATCCATCTTCTATCCGCCTCCCCCTCTCTCCCTATTTATTTCAGAACCCCCTTCCCCTCCCCCATTTCTGAAGAAGGGTCTAGGCCTGAAACGTCAGCCTTCCTGCTCCTCTGATGCTGCTTGGCCTGCTGTGTTCATCCAGCTCTACATCTTGTTACCTCAGATTCTCCAGCATCTACAGTTCCTGCTATCTCTGTGTTTTCTATCAGCCTGCTCTGGAAATCAAGTAACTGTGTATTTCTTTTAAAAACTTTAACCTTCCTGAACAATTCTAGGAATAATGGGGCTTGATTTCCAGTGTGTTCCCTCAGTGAGCCATGACACTTTGTGGATACTGCAGTTCAAGCGCACGTCCAAACACTTTTTAATTGGGTTGATTTTGTTTTGCTGTGAGCTATCACCCTTTGCAGAACTAAGTTCGGGATCCTCAGTTCCTGCTGGGTGAAATAATTTATTCTCAACTCCCTTTTATTCCCCTCCACCAGTTGCTTTAAAGCTAGGCCACCTAGTTATTAACATCTGTCCCAAGGGCAAAGTTTCCTTTCTTTCCATTCTGTCTAGCTACCTCATAATGTTATACATCTTAATTAAAACTCCTGTTCTACACCCCTACTCCAAAGATTCAAAAACCCAGTTTCATCAATATTTCCTCAGAACTAAGTCTCTATTCCTGTTGCATCCTCTCTAGTGCAATCAAATCTTATCTATAATGAGTGTTTTATGCAGTATTCCAGCTGTGGGCTAACTAATGGGAAATGTGGTTCCAGCATAAAATCTCCAATTTTGATTTAAAGTAACTGCCAGGATAACAAATTAAGAAATGCAAAGAGTTTAAAATTAAAAATAACAGCATGCAGAATAATAGATTAACGTGCAAGGTTGGAAAGAAAGTAAAATGAAAATAATAATGTGGAAAACCAAGGACTGAAAAACTTGGCAGTGTGGAAGTTGTGAGCAGAATTGTTTTTAATCTTTAATTCAAATAGTCTCAGTGTTCAGTTTTGTAGTTATGCTTCAATGCTTGAATGATAACGTTTGAATACAGAATAAACTTTAATATTACAATTCTAGTCAACTTTTTTGTGAATTCTGTCATAGTGAATATAATGCGCTCAATCCAGACAGCCTATCTATATTGTAGATCAAACTGCAAGATCTGTAACCTCACAATACATGAGCAGGCCTGGAAAAGGGTTCGCAGCAAAAACAATTATGACAATAAAATACACTATTCTTAATTCAGACTTTATAATGCAATTTTATTTTTAATCATTTTTTCCATCATAGCAGTTCCCAAATGTCATCCCAGAGGATTGAAATATAATTGTTCTCTTATTTAATACCGTCCTTTGTATCTGATTGTGATCTGTTATTAAGGAAAAGATTAATCTGGATTAGCATCTTGCAAAACTCTTCCCATGTTTGTGAATGTGGTTGTAAATGGTGATGTCATTTTATTACCATACTTTCCTCTAAGTTTTTTTCACTTTGCATTAAATCAATAAAATGACTTTTTCAAACACTTGGCCGAGGTTCAAACTGCAGCTGTCATCAGTTAGACAATGCAGCTTAACTAGTTTGCTAGTGGTCAATGTACCACAGTTTTCAGGTGTTGAAAGCATAAACCCCTAGTGACATTGCTTCATAAATTATTTCAACATGCAATAATAATTAAAACACAATAAACATTACCAGGCCAGTCTCGAGAGACACTGGAAGGAAACATGTGCAGAGGGTAGTAACCTTTTGGGAAATGGAGGCTGGTGCTTGACTGCAGGTTTTGAGAAATAATCAGTTTATGGGAAAGTCCCAGCAGTCCACAACAAACAATATTCTTTGTATTTGTTCATGAAATGTGGTCATCTCTAGCAATGCAAGCTCAAAATTTATTGCCATCACTAAATGCCCTTGAGATTGCAGTGGTGAGCTAACCTCTACAGATGCTGCAATGCATTTGATGTGATCGCACCTACATCGTTGTTAGGTAGCTCTTTCCAGGATTTTAACCCAATGATGGTGAAGGAATGATAATGTATTTCTACACCAGGATGGCATGTGACTTGGAGGGAAACTTGCAGATGGTAATATCCCTATGCACCTGTATCATTGTTCTTTGATTTGATAGAGGTTGCAGGTTTGGAGGATCTGTCAAAGTTTTAGCATGTTTTTGCAGTTTGGATGGTATGCAGTGTAGTCACGGTGAACTGGTGATGGAGAGAGTGAAAGATTAAGGTGGTGGATGAGGTGTCAATAAAGCAATCTGATTTCTTCTCGATTGTGTTGGAGTCCAAGATGGTGTCGGAGTAGGATGCTTCAGCTGGAGTTCATCTGCTCCGCCCATTCTTCTTCACTTTTTTTTTTCTGCTTTTGGTTTTTTTTGCTTCTTCTGTCCCAGGCTCCAGCCAACTCCAGGCCTTAGGGCAGACGTGACAAGGGCCCTCCCAGCCTGGTGTAGTGGCCTCCCAGCTTGGTGGAGTGGCCTCCTGGGTTGGCATGGCAGCCTCTCCCATGGAGGCCTCCTGGCGTGGTGTGGTGGTTCCCCAGCGTGGTGTGGTGGATCCCCGGCGTGGTAAGGTGGATCCCTGGCATGGTGTGGTGGTTCCCTGGCGTGGTGTGGCGGTTCCCCGGCATGGTGTGTGATTCCCTGGCATGGTGTGGTGGATCCCCAGTGTGGTGATTCCCTGGTGTGGTGTGGTGGTTCCCCGGCGTGGTGTGGTGGATCCCCTGCGTGGTGTGGCGGATCCCTGGCGTGGTGTGGTGGATCCCCAGTGTGGTGTGGCGGATCCCCGGCGTGGTGTGGTGGTTCCCTGGCGTGGTGTGGTGGATCTCTGACATGGTGTGGCGATTCGCCAGCGTGGTGTGGCAGTTCCCCTGCGCGGTGCCTTCTTGAACTAACATAGCCTCAGCATGGTCTCCTGGTCTTGTGGCAATACCAGAATGACCTCCCAGCCTCATGATTCTCAAAGTGAAGCCCAGTGCGGACTGGAGGCAGGATCCGGTGCCTACTGGAGGCTAGGTGCCAACGTGGTCTGGGTTGGAAGACTGCTGTTCTAAACCCTTACTTCTGCAATGCTGGACGTTTCAAATCTCTATTTTCTAAAATCTTCTTCTAACTGAAGAATCTGTACCTAGGTACCTTTTTATCTAAGATGGTGCTGTAAGTGGCAACGTAAACTTTTCACTACTCATTTGAGTACATGTGACAATAAAGCTAATTCAATTCAATTCAGTACAATTCAATTCAATAATTCAATTCAGCTTTCTGATGATGTGTTAATGATGCAATTGGTGGACATGCTTTGGGGAATCAAGAAAGCAGTTACTCACTTCTGAATATCCAGTCTCTGGTCTGTACATGGTGTTACAGTATTTATGTAGCTCGCACACTTAAAGTTCTGGCTAATTATGACCCAACATTTTCCATGATAGAAACTCAACAAGAGTAAATTTGTTGAATAACAAAGGGAATTGCATAGATTCTCTCTTGTTGGAGATGATTATAGGCATGGACTGCTTCAGTATTTGAAGAGTTGCTGAACATTGCACAGGCACACAAATTAGGACCTGGAATAAGCCAAACTTCCACTCAGGCAAACTTTACCCTTCAATGAGATCATGGCTGATTTAATACATTCCTGACCATTCTCAAAAACCACTTTACCTCTTCGTAATCAAGAAACTATCTACCTCTGCCTTAAAAATATTCAAAGATTCTGCTTCCACTGACTTTTGAGGAAGAGTGTTCCAAAGATTCATGATTCTTTGTGAAGAAACAAGAAATTTCCATATCTCTGTCTTAAATGTATGACCACATATTTATGTCAATATTTATCTCGTGAATTTCTAGTTTGACACCGAGTGTCACCATGTTATCAGATACTAAGTCATGTCTTAGAAAACATTATGTACTACCAACAACAGTACAACGACATTGCGTAGGAGGCATAGCATTTGAGATTAAATATGAAGTACACTATAAGCAATTGTTAAATAGAGAGAACGCCAAATAGTACATACTTCACAATCAAGAAATCTCTCTTAAGCAGTAAGGCATGTCTTAGACTCAATCTTGTACTATAAGTGCTTACTTTATTAAAGGATGTAGAATTTTCTGGGTGTGTAAAGACGTAAGGATTTAACATCATTCTTAAATGTAATTCTGAATACAGGATTCAGTTTCCCTAATCTTTTTAATAATTTATGGTGTTCCTTTTCAAAGGAAATCCTAATCTTTAGCCATATGACCTCTTCCACGTTCTGAACAAGATTGAAGGCAAGGCATGTCTTACTGTTTAAGAGAGAGATTTCTTGATTGTGAAGTATGTACTATTTGGTATTTCTACATTCGAGAATTGTTCATAGTATACCAGACCTTTAATCTTAAGTGCTATGCCTATCAGACCATATAGTTGTACAATTGTTAGCAGTACATGGTTTTACCTAAGCCATGGCTCAGTATCTGATAATATCATGACACTCAGTGTCAAACTAGAAATTCATGAGATGATCATTGATATAAATATTTGCCTGCCAAAATGTAAAGTCTGGGTTATTTGTCTCGCCTAAGAGCACATTAGTTTTTTTTTGTTTTGTTATTCTGATGAATTAATTTCTTTGTGGCAACAGCCATTTGATTTCTTAATTTCTGAAACTGTGACCCACTTCTAAAAATGTTCTGTAAGTCATCTATTGTGACAGTTAAAGCATTCACTTTTCATAACATGGTGCAGGTTTTTTTTTCTCAACAGTACTAACAAATACTTTAAGTACCTGATGTCTGTCCTACCTATTGTATTAAAACCAAAAGAACTGCGGATGCTGTAAATTAGGAACAAAAACAAAGTTGCTGGAAAAGCTCAGCAGGTCTGGCAGCATCTGTGAAGCAGAAAATAGAGTTAACGTTTCGGGTCGGGTCACCCTTCCTCAGAACTCTTTCCAATTGTTCAAATACTCCACATTACAATTGCCATCTCTTACTTTGGCTCCTAATTTCCTCAAACATCTCCTGTGTTTTTTGAGGAGATATTTCTTCTCTCAGAAGATTGTCAGTCTTTAGAGTTCTCTTCTACAAGGAGTTGTAATGTTCTTACTATGGTCTGGTTAAGAGGATCAGGCAGTAATACTTACTACAATCTTTTGGAAGTGATGATTCAGAGCTGTTTCCATTTGCTGAAATGGAAATAGGAATTTCTAGAAATGCTTGTATTTCCTTTAAGCTTTACAGGTCCGAGCATTTTATCAATAAGAACATACTGAGATTTTCAAATGGTGCAGAATATAATGATGTATGAACCTTTGAAAGAATGGAAGTGTGCAGCTAAACAAACCACAGTAACTGGTCACATCAGAAGGCTGTTTAAAAGTTTTTCTCCATGGACATAATTTAACAGTGTAGGGTGGATGAATGTCTATTCTAATGCTCCATAGGATCAGGTACAATGGCATTGAGAGTGATTCCTGAGTTATTGCACCGACTTTTTTCCCACCAGACCCAGACATCAACTGTTTATTTCTGCTCTATATTTTTATAGTGGGAGGGAGATATTGAAAGCTTGCGAGTTATTTGTCAGTTTCATGTCATCAAGATTTTCCCGAGCACTTTGCAGTCTTATGAAAGTATCCTTTGAAGGATTGTCTCTGTTGTTATGAACACAACTCTCTAGCAATGTGGGAACCACAAGTAATCTAGTTTTTGGGCTCATTTTAACATATCTCCGTCAATGTGTTTGAAAGGGAAGAGTCTCATTATATTCACGAGTCATCATAGTATCATAGAATCATAGAATCCCACAATGTGGAAACAGGCCCTTCGGTCCAACAAGTCCACACTGAACCTCAGAGCATCCCACCCAGACTCATCCCCCTATAACCCACCTAATCTACACATCCCTATGGGCAATTTAGCATGTCCAATCCACCTAACCTGCACATCTTTGGACTGTGGGAGGAAACCGGAGCATCCGGAGGAAACCCATGCGGACACGGGGAGAATGTGCAAACTCCACACAGACATTCTGCCAGCTGTGTCATGACCACTGTTATACCAGCTATGGGGTTGTCTGCACACAAGTGTGTCAATTGAAGCCTTTATTTGGTTTCCTTGCCCAAGCCAGTGGTGGGCAGGAATTTGAACTGAAGTTGGCAACCATCGATGTAATGCTTAATTTATTCTTGTCAGTTTCCTGAGCAGTTTATAATAACCCTTGATAACATTACAGTTAAAAAGCAAGCAGAATGAAACATCTGGGGCAAGAATGTTAGGGAAAATATTTGCACAGGAAAATGAATATTAGTAGTCAAAGAATTAGCATCTACCTCTTGCACGGTGAATTTTATGTGCCCATCTCTAATTTTTTTACATTTCAGTCACCCTGAAGTCCACAAAAAAGGTTGAAAATAGCTCCAAGGTTCAAAACAATTGAGGTTGTTTACTGCAGAGTATGTTACGATTTGAGCAATCTATTACCCAGGAGAACAGGAGTACAACATGCAATTTTCATGATGTGAGGATTTCAATTTTGAAAGAATTGACTAGTTCAGTGGTGCAGAAATAATGTAAGGAACTCAAAACTTAGCCTGAACTGGTTGAAAAATTGGAATACGAGTGAGTGAAAGATACTTTGTATTTTCAGGAGGGAAAAACGGAAATAAAGGAATTGTACTATGCATTTGATTGGCACATACTTTCTGATTCCTTTTTCAAAACTTGCAAACCTTATATTCACCATATAGAAAACAACAAATGCTGGAGATGAGATAACAAGGTGTAGAGCTGGATGAACACAGCAGGCCAGGCAGCATCAGAGGAGCAGGAAAGCTGACGTTTCGGATCTGGACCCTTCTTCAGAAGAAAGAAAAAATGCTGGAGATCACAGGTCAGACAGCATCCTTGGAGAGAGCAAGCTAACATTTCGAGTCTGGATGACTCATTTAGGCTCAACCTTAGCTTGCTCTCTCTCCATGGATGCTGTCTGACCCACTGTGATCTCTAGCATTTGTTGTTTTCAGTACAGATTCCAGCATCTGCAGTAATTTGCTCCTACATTTACCATGTAGAATTGGAACAAAAGTACCAAGTGAGGCCAGGGAGAGCATTAAGCAAAAATCATGTATTTGTTTTAGAAGAGTGAATAATGAGCTTTTGTTCTTTTATGGAAAATAAATAACGTGAATAGAAAGAGAATGATGGATGAAAGAAAGGAAACTAAGGCTTGGATTCCTGTTTTCATGTTAGGAACTTAGAGTCCAGAGAGCCATCACTCCACAAGCCTTACACTGAAGAAAGTGGCCTGATTGTTTTGCTACGACTGTGATGGCGAAGTGGATTGGTAGTAACAACCAATTTCTTCAAGAACTATTCTGAAGTGTAAATGTTTTAATTAATCACCAAAATGCTCATAGACTTATAGAGTCATACAGCACATACACAGACCCTTTGGTCCAACTCATCCACACTGACCAGACATCCGTCTGACCTAGTCCCATTTACCAGCATTTGGCGCATATCCCTCTAAACCCTTTCAGTTCATATACCCATGCAGATGCCTTTTAAATGTCAATTACCTTCTCTTTTGTATTACTGTCCAGAATAAAAGAAGCAGCCGTCAGAATTTTGTAATTAACAAGAGAGAATCTAACAATCATCCCTTGACATTCAATGGCATTCCATCAATGTTCCTCCAGTATCAATATCTGGGGGATTATCATTGACCAGAACAAAACCTAACTGGCCATTTAAATACCATTGCTACAACAGCAGGATAGAGGCTATGTATCTTGTAATGACTAACTCAACTCCTGACTCCCCAAAGCCTTCCACTATCTATTGACAAGGCACAAGTCAGGAGTGTACTGAAATATTCCTCACTTCCCTGGATGAGACACCCCATCCACAAATCATCTGTCCCTCCACCACCAATGCTCAGTAGTAACAGTGTGTAATTTCTGCAAGGTGC